GGCCTCGTCGCGGGGATCGAGAAGAGGCGATTTGGTGCCCACCCAGCTCCATTTTGGCTTCTGCTCGCCGTGCTGCTGCTGCTGCCGGGTGGTGTCTGTTCCGTGGGCCGTGTCTGACGGCGATACTGGATCCTTTTCGTTCTCGTGGTCGCCATGGGCAGGGGTTGCTTGGGGTTGCTGCTCTTCATGATTGTACTCATTGGCATGAGCGTTTCTGCTGCTGTTATCTGGTAACTTGCCCTTGCAACAAATTGTGCTCGCTCGCCTCGTATTGAGTCGCTCGAGCAGGGTGCCTCGTCTCTTGGGGTGACTGGGTGCTATGTGCGTCTCCGCGCTGGCCTCGTCCTCGCCCAGAAGACGCAGATACCATGCCCACTATGAGGTGTATCGTCAGCTCCGGTGGTGCATATGGGGAGCAGAAACAACGACGTGATGTTGCGCGGCACAGAAACACATACCTCACCATAGCTGTACATCCGTGCTGGCTTCTCTCGCAGATGCTCTGTCACTTTGCGAATCTCATCTATCAGGGTGAGGTGATACTCTGAACGCGACCTATGTGCCTGGCCTGCCATCTCCGGACCATGTTGTTGTCTGCTACCGTTCGATGACTGGCCGGCTGGGAGCTTGCCCTTTTCCTGGCGATGCAGCTCGTCCGTCGCTCGTTGCAGCTTGTCCCGCCGTGCTCGGATCCGCTCCTCGGTAGAGTCCTCGCCGTCGTCGTTGTCGTCCGCTTCGGAACCTGTCTGGTGATGACGCGGGAGGAAGCCGAAGAAACCGGGTAGGGATATTTCGGTGTCGGTCTCAGGCACAGACACCAGTCCGAAAGTCACCTTGTGGAGGAACATCTTGGCCTCGCGGGTGAATCCCATCTCACCAGGGAGGATCGTAAGATTGCCGAGCCTGAGTGTTCCGTCGCGGATCAGCTTGATGATGGTGTCGACCGCGTTCGAGATGAGCACGGTCATCGTGGGAAGAGCAAGCAGTGACCAGACAACGAAGAAAGCTCGGCCAGCCTTTGATATCGGCGATAAATCGCCGTAGCCAATCGTGGTCAGGCCGGTGAAGCAGAAGTAGAAGGCGTCAAAATAGCTCCAGCCCTGCCATTCATCCTCACAAATCTCGAAGATCTTGGCACCGACGAGCCAGAGCACCACCAACGTCGAGGTCGATATGGCCATGGCGGTCCATCTGCGCCTAGCCGACGCCCGCGCTTGTATGTGCCTCATCAGGGTGAACTCGGCACCACGTCGCTCGAATTCAGACCGTGGTAGATGCTTGCCTTTGAGTTCTGGAAACGCGACAAGCGCCTCGCCATCGATTGGCTCCAGGATACCTCGCTGTTCTTTACGCAGCAGGCGTCTAATGGATTGCCGTCTTTTCTTCTCGAGAGCCCTGGCGTCCAGCTTGGTCTTGCCACGGTCTAAGACCAGGCTCCGGATGGAGCCGACCACAAGACCCAGGCTAGTGATGCCAATGAGAGCGTATGGCATCAACAACGCACGGCCAAGTGTGGTGGAAGGAGAGAAGTCTCCATACTAGAAAATATTCAGTCGAGGATTAGAATGACTGAGCTGCGGCAGGGTCAGGAATCGTGGCTTTAGCAATCACTTACACCAACAGTGAATAGTGTTATATCAGCCCAGTAGACGGCGTCCAAGTAATCCCAACCTTCAATCTTTGAGAAGAGGAGAGCCCCAAGTAGAAGATATACAAGGAACATGATTGTCTGTAACATGAGAGTTCGTTGACTTGGTGTGAGCTTGAAGTCCTTCGAATAGTGGCCGGCGTTTGCTCCCCACATTGTGACAGACATCAGACACGCCACGATGAAATACAGGACAGCAGCAAACATGCCGTAATAGAATGCCTGAGACCACACCAGAATGCCATCTGTCTGCACCTCCTTGAGCGGGCCACTTGCCGTGGCGGTGAGGGCTGCGAGGCAGATGGCAGAGATAAACCAGCCGGTGATGGTGATTGGCTGTGCAATAGAGAAGCGCACCCGCTTGGCCATATTGAGAAGGAGGAACAAATTCGCGATGAGGGCAATGACGAGCTGAACGGCGTTGATAGCGTAGAGGAAGTCTGGGTCTTGGATTGGATATGAGTCCGTGATAAGTGCCCCGGGTGGGATCACGAATCGCCACTTCTCGACAAGGGCACAGATACTGAAGGCCGAGGCCACGGGGCCCAGAGTGCCCGCGATCATGGGAAACGCGGCCGATATGATCCAGTAGCGACTGTGTTTGGCGGTTAGTCGAGTGCTCAAGGTGCTTAAAAGGCCAAAGCCCGGGTCTGATAGGGGGGCGGCCTGGTGGACGGGACATACGTAGGGCCATCATCGACCAGGGCGGCATCATCGACCTGGGCGGCATCATCTTGTCCTTTGGCATTTTCCTGCCCGGGAGACTTGGAGTCGACAGCTTCGCAGGTCTCTGAGATGGGCTTCCCGGCGTCGTAATCGTCCATGGTGTCTGATGTTGTCGGGGATCAGGACCGGAAAGGCTATGAGAGGATGTCAAGCCATGGCTGGGATCTTGAGTGGGAGCTGCTGATGTCGTTGTATCCAATGGCCATCACGAGGTGGACGGACCTGGAAACTGTGAGAAGCTGAGAAGCTCGGGCACATTGCCGCGTGCGAAATTGGAAACCAAGGCCGTGGAGCAGGAGCCAAGGATCACATGCCCGAGCTCCGAGGGGTCTCTTGGTGTCACGCGCGAGGGGCCCGCGCTGGGCTGTGACGTATAGGGCGGCCACCGCAGAACTTGGAACAAAGGGCCACAGCTAGACAGTCGAGCTCTCCATCAGCAAGTGGGAGCCTTCCGACAGCCAGGACAATCGTTTGCAGCATTACAGGGCCGGGAAGACAACAGGACGCGGCAGGGCCCAGAACGAGCCGAGGGGTCGGAAGGGCCGGCGTTGCGATCATGATGATGCTGAGCACTGGGCATTATGAAAAGACAATCCAAAGCTTGACAAGCAACCCTAAAATCAAGCTTTGTGGAGCCCGTGAAGCCCCCTGCCTGCCACTGCAGAGGCGGCTCCACTGCACTGGACGTCCAACGCGTCCGCCGCTGCAGAGCGCGACACAGCAGACCACCAGGTGTTCACCGTCGAGACTGTCTCCGGGCGCATCGCGAGGGTCCCCTGGCAACAATGACAAGATGGATGCGGCATAGGACTCTCCTCTCTGCACCGCCGGCCCTGCTGCCGGCCCGGCGCTGCTACACCCACGCGGCCTCGCCTCGGCGCATCCCGGTCCGCTGCGGCATGTCCGGTAGCATCAACGTTGAGTAGGGCATCATGTCCCAACCGGGCAGGACAATCCAAGACCGCTGACCTCTCCCAAGCCTATACAACATTGACAACACGCCTTCGACCACCCCGTTGCTGATCTATCTGCCACCCTTCTCCACAAGTGCAACGCCGGAACCCCTCCCCCTGCCCGCATTCTGTCGTGACCTGCCCACGGCCGTCGTCAACTACAGATGGAAGGGCTACTCGCCATGGGAGGCGGACCACGAAGCACCCCGATCACCGACTCCTTTGGCTGATGCTCAGCCTTCCGAGGTGTTCTCGGCCGAGCACCAACGCTGGCCTGCGCCGATCCACGACACTCTGATAGCGTATTCATGGCTCATCAAGCACCTTGAACCACCAGCATACATGCGTCGCAGCGTCTATGTCTACGGCTCGTATCTCGGCGCCTCGCTCGCTGCGTCGTTGGCACTCACCGAGAACCACCCTCACCATCGCATGGCGGTTCGAGGCTGCGTCGCCTTCAACGGCGTCTACAACTGGACAATGTTCCTCCCCAACCACCCCATGCACCAGCAGGCGGCCACTGGCACAACGGGCAATGTGCTCGAGCAGTTCCTCACACCGCCAGAGGACCCAGAGCTTCAGGAGCTCGGCGACAATATCGAGGCGCTGTTCACGAAGCCAGAGAAGGTATTCGACCACTTCGCCAGCCCCTGCCTCTTCTTCCACACCCCGGGCCTGCTGGTGCCCCCTTCCTTCGCGGACGTGGACAACGCGAGCATAAGCCGGGCCGTCTACTTCGCGACGCTGCCGAGCCCGTCCCCATCTTCCTCCCCGGAGCCGCGCGACGCGGCAGCCGACGCGACAGAGCATGCAGCGCGCGAGGAGATGGCCGCGCAGATGGCCGCGCTGAAGCCCCTCACCGCGCCGCGCAGGAGCCCGCTCATGTTCCCGCCGCGCGCGTCGACGCTGCGGATACCCGAGACCCTGCTGCTGCACACCACGCCGCCGTCCCCGGCGTACCTGCAGCGGCGCGGAGGCAGGCTGAGGAAGAAAGGCCCCGCGGCCAACAGCTTCGCGCACCACGCGTCCGAGCTGGCCGGGCTGATGCACAAGAGCATCAACAGGCTCGAACTCAAGGAGCGGGGCAAGTGGGATGAGGAGCAGGACGGCTTTGACGATGAGGCCGCGCAGAGGGTGCAGGTGCGGGATGTCGGGCTGAACACGGACTTCTTTGAGCTTCCCGAGCAGGGGCAGCAGGCCATTCGCACCTGGCTGGAGGACCGGATGGGGCAGCACGCCTGAGCCTGCGGGTCGTTCTTGCACCTTCTCGCTCGTAAACGGAATTTTGCCATATAGAAACATCTCACGACTAGAGGGGCCTGCCACATGCGTACTCTCACGGCTGCAGATTGTGCAACACGGACGGCCTGTCTGTAGTCAAAGCATGTGGCTCGAGCCTCTGGTCGTCAGCAAGGTGATAAAGGATACATGACGAACAAGCACAGGACAAGTGGCCAGGAGGCATGCAGTTCCGACATCCAAATGATGAAAGTAATAACAAAATGAAAATTATACTACTGAAACGAGACAAAACAAAAACAGAAAAGAACAGGAAAATAGCCCAGCTACGTTTGGTCACCACCAAAAGTGAGTGAGCGAGCGAGCGAGCGAGCATTTCACACAAGACTCTCAAAATTGATGTGGGCGCCTGAGGAGAGGGCGACCAAAAAGATGGGCCTGACCGGGATTCGAACCCGGGGCCACTCGCAAACGGAGGCAAGGAAGAACCCAAAGCGAGTATCATACCACTAGACCATCAGGCCGATGAATCAGTACTAAGCCGGAACTGCTTTATCCGCCATTGTATACTACAATGATGCTTTCAGGAATGGTTTGTGCGCGGCCGGTCCCTTCTTGTTCATGCCAGTGCTGCCGTGGTGCGTAATCGACTTGAGGGTGGCTCTGGACTGATGGTTGCCCTTGGTCACGATATTGCGTGGACACAGGTTGGGGCACGACGTTGCATCCACTGGCCACGGGGGTGTCATTCATTGTTCGTGTAAGACAAGGGCACCGTGCAAAAGAGTGTAGATTTGTCCGACATCAGCTGGAATTGTGAACATAAGCAGCACTTTAGTAATCTAAAGAAATATGTAGTCGCTGCGTAGTCTTCATTCTGCGGCTTCTTCCCCAGTCCATGTGTTGAACCTGGACACTTCCTCCTCGACGAGCATTGACTCGACTACTGACCAAGATGCTTGTGAGACGGCATCCTTGCAGTAATAATAATAATAATAATAATAAGTTCTCTCCGGTGTGACGACAGAGTTTCCACGCAACATGGCAGAGCCTACAGGCTGTGATCCGTACTGCCTCAACTATGGTTGAAGATCACGGCGCGTGCGAAATGCTCACTTGCGGATCTTGTCGGGAAGATCGTTTCCTTCCGTCCATTTAGTGCTACAGATTGTGTCCCGAATGGTCAGCTACACGTCAACTAGATAGAATCGATAACCATGGTAACATGACAACTCACGTGACGACAAGATCCGACTTGGAAAGATGCAGATCGCCGGAGCGGTGGTTCTTGAACGGGCACTTGTCACCAAAGGTGCAAGGATCGCGGATGCAGTGGTGGCTGAGGTAGCAGCCATAGTCGTCACACGTCGGTCCCGCTGGGCACGGGCTCGTGCGTGCCTTGTATCTGTGGATGGCGAGCTCGGAGGGCGTGAGCTCCATGTTGTGCGTTTTGTCACAAGCAGATCCCCACTGGCAGTGGCCTCGAAGGTAGTGGTCGTTGCAGAAGACGGATGGCTTGACACTGGCGTGCTTCTCCCCATACGTTCTCTGGGCCGGCGTGTTTGGTTGAGGCCGCTGCGCTGGCGGGTCGATGCGGTAACCATCTGCGTTACAGAGGATCACTCTCGCGTCCTTTTTGGGCTTGGACTTGACGGTGACGTTGGACCACTCGGTAGCACCCCCCACGGTTGCGTAGCTGATAGAAGTGCCCCCGTTGCCGGAGGTGACAACACCTTGTGACCGAGCTGCTGTCGCCTTCGGGGGAGCAGGCTTGGCAGCAGGTGCAGTATCTACTGGAGAAGCTTTGGTACCGTTTGCCCCTCCGGCGGTTGACATAACCGGAGATGACGCCGACGTTGGCGGACTGCTTCCAGGTGCAGATTGGGGCGGCGAGGGGTTACCTTGCTGCTCAGCAGCAGGCGCAGCCTGAATCGACTCGCGCATGAAGCTGCGTTGAAACTGGGCAGCCGACGATCCGGGCGGAGACATAGCACTTCGCTTGTTTTCATTGTTCAATGGCTCCGTGCGGAAAACGTTGTCAAAGCGGATTATCGGGTATCCCAGAGACCGGAATCCTGGCTCGGCTGTCGTCGTTTCGAGCAGCACAAGCTTGTCGTCGGCAACTCCCCTGTACTCTCTAAGATCATGGAGGTAGCCGTTGTCGTGGCAGCATCCTGCCAGGAATATCTTCTGGCATTGGATGTTCTTATGATAGTGGTTAAGCATGCCTAGACGTGGTGTTCACAAGTCAGGTCATGAAACGTCAAGCAACAGCAACAGAGTGGGAGCCACTGATATTTACTTACGCCGAATTTTCGAGTCGGCATTCTCCTTACCTTTGCCAACGTTCACGAAATCAATCTCGGCGCTGCTGTTAGTGAATTTCTCTGCGAAGACCCGCATGTAATCATCAGATGGGACAATCTGAGACATACGCAAGGACTTCGATAAGTCGTTGAGATTAGCATAGACTCGGACGAGAACCGGGACATCATCGTGTCTGGAGCCCGAGTCGGCGAGGTGCTTCCGCACGGCCCGCTTCAGATTCTGCGCAGCTCGCTCGCCGCCATCAACCATATCGCGGATCAGGTCGTCCTTGAACTTGGCGCCGTCGCCGTCGACCAGGACCACAACAAAGCCATCTGCATTCTGAGATGTGGTGTGAGCACTGTGTCCGGATGATGCTCGATCGTTTGAAGAACTTACTACGCGGTGCTCAATGAGCTTCACATTGCGCTCGAGATCATGAGCTCTCTGCTGATATGTAATCCTCGACCTCTTCTGATCATCAAGGTCTAGCTCGAGTTCCTTGATTTTTTGGGAATCCAAATTGATCCTCTCTATCATGGACTAAGTCGAGCAGGATCATTAGCGAAGGCTCACAGCTGCATCGGTCTCGTTGAGGGTCATGGCTAGCCATTGAATGTCTGCAGCGTCCACGTCGAATCTCACACAACGAACGGAATTTGGGCGAGATCGTACCTGTAAGAAGTTCTGCCTCTCCGTGTCGATACGTAGATAATGGTCCAGAAGACCAGCTGGGTCGGCAGGCAAGCGATCGCCTCCATTCGGCTCCACAACGCCTAGCTGCTGCGTGCCCGAAAACCCTGGTGGGGAAAAGAGACTACGAGACATGTCGTTACCGCTCACGGCTAGATATCTAACTAAGTAGATTATCTACCTTGACTCTCACCGGGTCGGCTGTCGATTGCGAGGGCTGTTGCGTGCGAAGTTGTGCTGGTTGCTAGACTGCTGCCTACTGAATTGCACGTGAGGCTCGCCTTCTGCTTTGTGAACAACAAACGTCTCTGTTCAAACGCAAGCGAGAGTCTGGCAGTCAAAGAACAACGAGACAAGAGCTTCGGGGCGCGTAGATAAGTAACACGCTTCCAGCGGCGCGTTTGAGACAAGGCGTACTGGCTGTGAATGTTGGAACGTCCAGGAGCTGCGCCTTCAGGTGAGAGACGACAATCGAAGGGGATGGCAGATTTGAGGCAATGTTCACAGGCGGAGCGGGGACGCCTGCGCGCCAATGTTTGTGGTGTGCTGTGCTGGCGCGTACGTGGGGAGTCTTCAACCACCACCCACCCACCAGTCAAGACCCTGGGGCATGCAACGCAGGCTTTCTCCGCAGGCGCCCGGGTGAGCACAAGCTGACGGGGTGTGGTCTCGCGGGGACCGGCTGTCCTGTGCCGGGGCTTTGTTGGCAGTTCGGCAGTACATGCAACCAGACGTGCCTTGACGACCACGCGAGGCGGAATCTGTCTTGGCAGCGTCTGTTGTGCGGCAAGCATATGCTGGTAGATCAATCAAGCAAACAACAACCGCTAGCGGCAAGGCATCTCCCAGACTCGGAGTCCCTTGGTGCCAAGGGGATATAGGTATCAAGTGACTTGTCAACATCCATAACAACGAGAAAAGCTACCGCATAGTGCCATGCATGAAAGAGATAACGGAAATGATGGGTCTCAGACCAGGCAGCAACAAGGCTACCACTTGGGCTCTCCCCGCTCGACAGCAGGTGTTTCGACCTCGTTCCTGTCCGCAAATGGGTCATTCTCATCCTCGTCTGCCGAGTCATCCTGCGCAACTGGTCGTGCAGGTGCCCGTGCAGGTACCCTCGCAGTTGGCAGGCGTGTTTCCGAGGACGGCTTAGATGCAGCAGACGGCCGCGGAGGCGCTGAAGGTCGTGGAGGGGGTGATGGGGCCGCAATGCTCAGCTCTGACACGTCAGGCGTCTCTTGAATTGGGGTTCCCTGGGCTGCCAATAACGCCTTGCCCTTCTCCGTGGCCACTGTTTGTGATATGAGTCATTAGCATTTGCCAACACGTTTGAGCGACGCGTTATCTGCATGACGTACTTCGGTACAGGTGTGCTTGCTCTGCGAGCTCATCTTCTGAATCACTGTCAGCGTCGATGGAGCGGTCGAGCTGCTCATACGTCATCAAAGCTTGCACAAGCTCGTCGTTGGCGTGCAGGAGTCCTCCAAGCCATTGTTCGTCTTCCACGTGGTGAACCTGTTGTAGATGTTAGCAGGTAATCAACAGAAAAATGGAAGCCTGTGTACACTCACATAGCGAAGGATTTTTCGGCGCAACCGCTTGCATGCTTCGAACCTCTCGACCGCAGTCTCATTATCCGATATTCTCTCCTGCTCGCGATTGATGCTTTGCAGAGCATTTGTCAGGTTGATTGCCGCGATGGACGACTCTGCGATCGACACCTTCATAGCTTCCTTCTCGGCTTCGAGGTTGAACGGACGTGCGGCGCTCTTTCCGCTCTTGTCTTTGTCCTTCTTCTTCTTGTCCTTCGAGCTTCCAAAGAACGATGAGCTCGATCCCGACTGTGTTCGGGAATGGCCTGTGGAGGCTGGGACTGCGGCGACAGGAGGCCGTGAGCTCGAAGCTTGTGGTCGAGACTGGCTCGCAGCCTTCGCATTGCGCTGCTCGGCTTCGTCTTCGGAGTCGCGAAATGGGTCTTGTTCCGTCTCCCGCAGAACCTTGGACTTGTCTTGGGTTACGACCTGCTTGCGCCTCGGAAGTTCCTGTGGTCGAAAGTCAGTAGCGGTTACATTTATTCAGGGACACTGACGGCTGCTTACTTTGTAGAGTACTGCGATCCTCTCAAGCCCAGGGGTGCTCTTGTATTCGACAGCCCAAGTTCTGAACAGCTCTGAGCACTTCTTGCGCACTTCGGGTTCAGACAGGCCAGATGTACCACAGACTCGCAGGCGTTCAAGCAATGGCTCATCTATGAATGTGCGCTGGAAGCGAGGACCTGCATTCTGGATCAGGCCGTCCAATAGAACGAGCGCCCTGATCTGGCGATGGACATTGCCGTACTTGAGCTTCTTGCGCAAAGCTCGAGCAGCTTCAGCTGGTCCGGTAGCTTGAAGTTTGATGACCTCGACCAGGTCAGGGATGCCGCTAAAATCGTCTTCCTCGTACTGCTCGCTTGTCAAGCGCTCGACCGTGACCGTCACGGCCGAGTATGGTTTTTTCTGTCGACCGTGAGAGTGAGCAC